TTCAAAGCCCAATAAAATGTTGTTGCTAACATCCAGCAAAGCAATGCATCTTTGCTCCTCACTCTAGAAGAAAAACCGTCCCAAGGAGTAAGGAGTCGGAGAATAAGAAATAAAAGAAAACAGTTATTGGCAAATATGAAACCTGAAAAAAAAATCAAAAAACAAAATCTCAGAAGCAGCAAAGGTATTCTTAAAACCTTTTTTATCATAAAAAAACTTTCAAAGTTTCATTTATAGATTGCATTCATTTCTCTTGAATATTTTAATTTAACAAAAGGGTTTTGCTTTTGTTGTTTTTTTTATTTCTTTTTACAAAACATGTTCTATGCTTGCAACAATAATGGAACAGAATTCACTCCGTAGTGCTACAGGGGAACTCTGTGGGAAGCACTAATAAAACCAACATAAGTTAACACTACTAAACCTAAATATAATCCAGAAGCCAAAAAGAGAACGTCTCCTCATGGGGACCAGTCCATGCTCCCCAAAAGTGTCTATAAGTCCCCAAAATGCAGCATTTTCCAGGGAAGTTATCCCCTCAGGATGAGAAAAACATGGCCACACATAAAGACACGACATAGAGCCTAGCAGAGAAGGTGTGTTTGAAAATTCTCCTAGAAAGCTTTTGCTTAGCTTTAAAACCTTTTTTTAATATGGCTGCAAAACTGAAGTTTTAAAGGAGTCTTTTTAAATCCATCCGTGTTAATTGAATCCATTGTGAATTGTTCTTCTTTCCCCACAGAAAATACATGAATATGAAATAGAAGTGAAAGTGCTTTTTTACTGTTTTGGGTTCACAGCATGTGTCCATTTCCATCTACTGAAGTAAACACTGAACTATGCAGAAACACCGCCCACATGCTCCAGACCCCAGCATCAAGCCTGGAGAACTTTTTGATGCATATTCATTATAAATTCTTATCTGTTCTGGTTCAAATAAAAAAGACACACTGCAAAAAAATTTAATCTTAATAAGTCAATTTTTCTTAAAATAAGTGTATTTTTTCTTGAACTGAGGAGGTAAGTGAGACACTTTGCCAATGGAACAAGACAATTTACATTTAAAATAAGAAAAACAATTGCATTGTCTTATTTCAAGTAATTTTTATCTAATTATCTTATTTTAAGAATAAAAATACTCATTCCATTGGCAAATCCTCTTACTTACCTACTCAAATTAAGAGTAAAAACACTTAATTTAAGAAATCTTTACCTATTTCTATATTGTTTTTGCAGTGCATTGTTTATATCCTGTGAAAAGCCTCATGGTTAAACCCTTCATTGCAGATTTAGGTCATTCACATTTTCCAATCTTTTTCTCGTCATTGGACGGGATGTTAAGGTTTCAGAATAGCCCTGCCAAAGTTCCCACTTTAATAGAATACGTAATCTTTTGGGGGAGCAAATTGTAAAATTAAAGGTGGAAAAAAAACAAACAAATAAACCTGTTTAGTATCACAGATTACTTTTTTCTACCTTGAACTAAAATGAAAGCCTGGTTTATAATGTGCCATATGTCTTTCCGTATGTGTTCAGGGATCGCTGCTGCGACAATGTTCTTTACAGACAAGATCACAGAGGTGTCCGAGTCTCAGCTCAGAGTGGCATTTGATGGGGATGCCGTCCTGTTCTCTGACGAGTCTGAGCGCATTTTCAAAACCCACGGGCTGGACAAGTTCTTCGAACATGAGAGGGAAAACGAGGACATACTCCTGGATCACGTTTGTATAATTTTGTCTACATTCTCCTTCTGTGATACATCAAATAAGCCTTTAAAGCCTATAAAAGAGAAATCGCTGATATTTCAACGCTTGGCCAATTAATATAATATATCTATAAGGTGGCCGAGAGGTGCAAAAACGCAATAAATACATAAATGCGCAGGGAATACAAAAAGCATTGCAAACAGAGAAAAAGGGCTAGCAAACATGAACGTCAGACTAGCCAAAAAAAGAAACAAACACACAAAACACAATTAAAAATGGAAAAAAAATGATAAATTGCACTGGAAAAAAACTTCAGAAATAAGTAGAAATTTCTTAAATTAAGTGTATTTACCCTTAATTTGAGTAGGTAAATGAGATAGTTTGCCAATGGAATGAGTATTTTTACTCTTAAGATGAGATAATTAGATAATATGCACTTGTAATAAGACAATGCAATTGTGTTTTCTTATTTTAGGTGTAAATTGCCTTGTTCTATTGGCAAAATGTGTCTTTTACCTCATCAATCCAAGCGCAAATGCAGTTATTTTAAGAAAAAATGACTTAACTGGATTTCCATTTTTTCCAGTGTGATTACTCGCATTCATCCACCTACGACACAGCCAATCAGCTTTGAACCACGCCTCCACAAAAACCAATCGGCATCTAAAGTTCATCTTAAAAGGCCTGGGAGTCTGCTCCTGCGTTGGATGCACTGTGTGACTTCATTCAGATGACACTGTTTCAACCCACCTTCAGCCCCTCCTCCACCATTGTAGCTAAAGCTTCATCAGTGTCATTCCTCCTGGACTCTTACTACTTGTCTGTCTCATCTTAACCGGTCCGGCAGAAAACCACCATGTTGAGCCTGGTTCTACCAGAGGTTCCTTCCCAACGGGGAGTTTTTCCTCTCCACTGTCGCTTCATGCTTGCTCATCATG